CGAACAAACAAACACCGTATCCGATGTAATATTCGAACCACTCAAGATGTTGTACGAAAAATATGAGAAGTCCCCGGAAAAAAACGCCGACGCGAAGATACATACCTACGCCGCAGAGACCAAGAAAATGAAAATAACGGATTTCTATCTGCCGGCACAAGCAAGCAACCTAATACCTGCTAAATAACGGAACATAAACCGACGCAATCACGAAAACCAAGAAAATAAAAATAACGGATTTCTACCCGCCGGCGAATACAAGCAACCAAAAAGCACCTACCTGTGAGATAGTGAAACAAAAGCGGTCGCACTTAGATGGGTATGCATGACCTAATGACAGTTAAAACAGATAGTAACACGAATACATAAAAAGCGGAAGGAAACACGTGCTATTCAGAACGAAAAATGACACTGAAGATGGCACAACGCTGAAACCGGTTTGTCTCCAAACCAAATTTGACAAGGGATGACGGAAAATCGTTCCACAATACATCATTAAAAAATAAGCATACAAAAATTTTTTTTTTTTATTCAACGAAATCATATAATGAGATTTGTGAAGTTATAGAGTATGAAAAAGAAAGCTTAGATGAACGAGCATCATTCCAAGTTGAATTAAGATGTGTTCATATTTGAAAAAATAAATTCTGACGTGAATGAGTAAAAAGTGAAAAAAGACCATTCCGTTGAAAAATGTGTTTAATATTTTTATGCATCTGAGGGGAGCTTTTTTTTCTTCATATCGGTATAGCTCACGTAAATCTTAATATTTTTTCCAAAATATTTTGGTGGAAGTCTTCAAATGTAATGAATTTTGTAGTCCCGACGGAAAAAAGTGCAACTATTTTGGTGATGCAGTCTAATGTACATACATACATACTAGGGCTCGTAAAATTATCCGACTATTCGACTAATCGGTTAACCGATTATTCGATTCGTAACCGTTCGCATGCTTATTAGTCGGTTAAAGGTATTCGAATAGTCGCCCGCCTTCGATTATTCGAATAGTTGCTTTGCTTCGACTACTCGAGCATTGTAGCAAATCCAATTTCAGCAACCGAACTTTCATTGAAATTTCTTTGACAAATGAAAAAAAATTTATTTAAATATATACATGCACACATATGAATGTATATTCAGATACAAAAAATGAGCGGACGCAAAAGGAGCGGGGTTTGGGATTTTTTCGAAAAAACAGAGGACGAAAAGGAAGTAACATGTTCCATATGTGGTGCAGTTTTGTGCTACACCTCCTCCACATCCTCACTGAACAACCATTTAACAAAAATCCATAACAAAAATCGCGAAAATGAAAGGTAGGTATTGCTTTAGCCATTGTCTCTAAAATATTTCGCAATAACATTTCAATAATTAGCGCACATTCTTGCAAAAAATGTTTGCCTTAATTTTGCACATGCCATCTTATATATGTACTACGAATGTAACAAGACTTTTCATATATGTATATGTATCCGTAAATGCAAAAAAAAACTCGAACTTAAAATATTCGATTAACCGAAAATTAACGGTTAACCGAATAATCTAAAGTGAACGGTTATCCGAATAGTCGACAGCTTTCGACTACTCGAATATTGCTAACCGATTAACAGTAGTCGACTTCAGTCAGATTCGAATAATTCGGTTAATCGATTAACCGATTTGCCCGAGCTCTAATACATACATATCGCACACCTAGATCTAAAGTGAGCTAACTCAATATTAGAAGAGCGAATTTTAAATCCTTGTAACGCAATTAATACAAAAACAGGTACAACAGTAGTTTTTTTAATTAATATATATAACATGAAGAAAAATATATTTCTATTAATTGGATGTGAATTGATTTATGCAAAAAAAAACGCCCAAATTGTTTTTTAGTTGATCGCACTTTAGATCAAGATGTGCGATATGTACATGTCGTTACTTAAAAAAATTAAAGTAGGAAATTTAGTTTTTACCAAATACAGAGGTAACGACAAATTCATCTAGGTACTAGGCTACTACAATTTGAAAATTCGAAGGTTAAATTTTGAACATTGTATAGGCTTACAAGTATGGAAAGCGCCATTTTGTTTGTTTACATTTGAAAACAGCTGAGATCACCTGATTTTCAATTCTCTCATTCTCCGCACAGAGTTACATTCAAGTTTCAGAAAAAACTTTAAAATGTAAATTGAGAAATATTTTAGAAAAATGTGTTTTTATTCATTTGCATTCAATAAAAAAGAAATTAAAAATGCGTGCCAAGTCTTGCATTTCCAATAATAACGATAAATGTGTACGTTCCAGGCAATAATTTAAAATATTTGTGAAACTTATCGTTTTGCGCTAAAATACAACAATGTGTGTAAAATTCGTTGTCATTGCTTGTGTTTTGAATATCATATTCGTGCCTCCCGGTGGAAAAAATAGGTAAATTTGCATTTATTTTCAAGAAAACATATCAGTTAAAATATATTTCTTTCCAGAGCGACATACGGACAAGTAAGATGATAAATTTGTATGATGAATATCGCGGAAAAACTTTTGTATAAAAATTTATATTCTAATTTGCATTTGAATTATGATATCAACAGGGATGATTTGGGACGTATTTTTTGAAGACAATTTTCTCTATCTAATTTCTAAATCTTGAGATTGTTGATTTATTTTAGAATTAAAAAAGGTAGTTTATATTAAAAAATATATTTACACTAGCGGTATGTAAATTACTTTTATTCCGAATTGAAACGATTTTAATGAATATTCATGGTTACCATTAATAGTAGTATGACAGTTAGATCTAAATGCATATTTGACAAGAAAGATAGAATACAAGATTGCGCCGTCCTGGCGGCGATGACATATCTGTACAAAAAGTAATAAAAGTCGAATTGGATGTTGAAAGAAAATGTGAGAACAGCAAATTTTCTTAATAATAAATTTTTCGATAAGGAACGTGTTTTGATTGTGCTAATTTGTAATAGCCTTATTCATAAACAATAAAGTAGCTTAAAAAAGGCTTATAAATTGAAAAATATTTGTAAACGGCAATTTAAAAAGCTTTTTAAAATTTTTATTTTTTATTAATAAGGCAATAAAATTATGTGATTTACAATAACTTTTAACAAAGGAAATACGAAATAAGGTGATTTTTGCGGAAGTGGGTATTAGTAAATATCAGTGCATTTAAAGTTTCTGAGGTTTCGATTACTTTTAGATCAGAATTGTCAAAATTGAGAAATTCAAAGTAGCGATACAATAATCATAGAAAAGAAGATTGCGCTCTGCTGTGATGATGAGTAAATTTACCACAATGAGGAAGAATATAACAATTAAGTGAAAAAATTTTATTTTTACAAATTTAGTGAGCAGTAACGCGTTTCAAGAACGATATTTCAGACAAATCGTTAAGGAACAACTATTTTTCCTTCCCGTCTGCTTTGGTTTTGGCAAAAAAGTTGATAAGCTCCTGCCGGCGATCAAGTCATTTCAACCATAAAATAATATTATTTGCAAGAACCATTCACTAAAATTGTAACTAACTTTTTATTATTTATTAATTCCTTTTTGATATTCAGCAATAACAAGATGGAAAAAAATTATATACCAAAATTAGTAATATTTTTATGAATGCAGTTATAAAAGTTCACAGAGGAAACGCCGGAAAACAATGTATTGACAACAACATAAAATTTATGGCAATTTAGATGTCAGCAGAATAATAACTACGATAAAAAAGCATGAGAGTGTGCGAGAAACGGTCAACAAATTTCTTATAAAATATTTTAATTTTTGCTGGGTATAAATGAAAACTCAATGAGTATTAAGGAAAAGAAAAATTTGAAAATAATAAACAGAAAAAGAGATGGGTGCACAAAAACTTTAGTTAAATGTTTTCCCAAACTCTTAAAAAGTAAGCAAATCGATTTTTTTTAATGTTACTTTACATCTATTTTCTTTTTTATGAATAAGGTCATAAGCATGTACCGTTTTTATAAATAAATCTTATAGCAATATGCTATATATTTATTTATACACTTTTTGGCTGGCGAAATATGTAATTTTTCAACTTAATAGAAAAGCGTATTTAACCACATTACTTTTTTTTAATATTGAATGGCGCAACACAACAACTCTTTTTGTTGCATGAAACCCTTGAATACGTGCCTGTCATCTATTTCTTCTGTTTCGACATTTCGGTATTTTGCATTTCTTTCATTTTGACGTCATTCGCATTTTTGAAATTCGTTTTGGTTCGACATTCTGCTATTTCATAATTCTTTCATTCTCATGTCATCCATCTTCCATTTATTACCTTCCATTGCCGTTCGCATCGTCGAACGTGCCTGTCAAACACTGCCGCCATCATGCTTTTCAGTTTGGCAGGCACGTCCGCTGTTAGAAAGAGAATAGACAAAAAGGGGCATAGGATTCCATACTTGTAAGCATGATTCAATAATACAAGGTTAGATAATTATTGACAGCTGCGGTTTGACACTCCCTTACAAAAGGTTGCATTTACGAAGGACGGAGAAAGGGGAAGAATGAAATCTCTTGGTGCGAAAATGGTACTAGAAAAGTACGCACAGTAGGCAATTAGTAGTGAAATTCCTTTTGTAAATTCTAATGTATTTGCAGGAAATCTGGCATTTTAAACGAAATGTTGAGCGTAATATTGATATATCTACGTGAATTACGTAATTTATGTGCTATTTAGCTGTATAAAAATTGCAAAATGACGCAAAATTAAAATAAGACTACTATGAGATTGATGTAAACATCCAATTTAAAAACAGTTTATGTTTTCATCAGGTAATATGCTTCATATGCTTATACAAATAAACATATTGCACAAAAGCTTGTACTTTATTTCACACCAAAGCTACACTGTTTCCATGTAAATTTGCAAAGAAGCAACACGGTGCCTCTGCTAAGGGAGCGGTGCGAGAGAGACAACTGTCAGTTTATCGAACCTTGTAATTATTATTGAATCATGACTTGTAAGTATATACGATGATTTGAATCAGTTGATTACAAAAGCCGCTTCAACGTAGATCAGGTCCTATAACTTCCAAACGCCTTGCACTCCTCCCCAAAGTATATTTCATTTACATTACTAAAGCGTTGGCAGAACTATATAAATTTAAACCAATAATAGTTTTTATACTATCTTAAGCCTCTTTAAAAAGATAAGAATATACAAGCCTAGTTTAATTACACTATAACAATAAAAAAAAACTTAGACATTTCTTAAGTTTGCAGAATATCAGCGATTACTTTTAAGAATTTAATAATTCTTATCAATGGTTGAAAGCTTAACTATACAACTATAATACTCATGTAAATCACAAAGAAAATATAATATGTAGCAATAAAGATAACGCCAACGGATATTGATAAGTATTCGCTAGCAGGTAGTTGTTTATGACTACAAAAACCCATACCCAAAGAAAGGATCTGTATAGCAATGCTCAAGTAGAGCGAACAACTCACCAACTGCATGGCCTGATTGTCGATAAATTGCTTTTGTGAAATAATTTCGTAAGCGATTTATATTTATACATTTTATAATGGTATGTATATGGATATGTAAGCAACTATGTATGGATAATCACTCACATGCATATGAATTTATTACATGTACTACATTATCTACATATGTACTGGCAAGTACAATATCAGTTTCCTTCTACCGAATGCCTTAACCGCAAATAATCAGTCAGGCAGACATCAGAAAAGCAAGTAATAGGCACTTTCGAGTCCAACGAGTCATTGATAGAGCTCATATTAAGTTGGCAAAATGGAAACAATACAGTCACGCAGTAACACCCTCCAGCCGAGCTGTCACCGAAAAGGAATCTTGCCGCACACAAAGGTTCTATATACATAACTAGCATTTGCCCATTTCTTAAAGTTTTGCGTTTTTAACGCCAGCGCCTTGGGCGGGTGTAATGGCCTCTACGTATATAAATGTACACGGCAGCAAGGCGTAACCAAAATTTTGCTATCCTTAACAAGTGAAAAGCAACACCTGGCCCTGCGTTTTTACCCCAACTCAAACATTTGGCTGACAATCCATGCGAGAGGATGATTTCGACCAACTGACCAAATTTTGGCTAGGAAAATACAACACCACCTTCCTCGAATGCTAGTTGGAAGGTTAGTTCACCCTTCCTATTGCTAGCCACAGCTTTTGCAAATGCATAGAGTAATAACTTTTTGCAGCTAAATGAAGGCAAAGGTCGCATTACATACACCAAACTGGCAAATACCAGCGTCCACTAGCTGTACAATATGGTTTCAAAACGAAAACTAACTGGGTGCTAACTTTGGTTACGAGTATTGTGCAATACATTCCAGTTTGATGAATACTTACACTCGAAATTCTTGCAGTACATATATTGGTATATGCGATTTATTGCATTAAAGGCGCTAACAATTTCAATAACTTATAGATCGGTTTGGTTTAGGTATGTATTTCTTTCATTAACAAGTTGCACTATAGATTTTAAGTTTTGCTGTGCTCATAAACTAGATTTTTTTTTCCAATAATTAAACGCAGCGTGACACTTTTAACACAAACACGTGCCGCACATTTCGTTGAAATGTTTTCATGAAATTTTTAACTTTATTTTTTCACTATTTTAGTTCAGAAAAGTACAAAATTTTCACAATTTTCAGCTCAGTATATCCAGTAAACAGACTTAAAGTGTGTTTGCATTGTTCAACTTTGCGTTCAACATTTGCGTTCAACTCAGCGCAGGGTTGCACGAAAAAAAAGTTGAATGGCTAAAAATATCAAAATATGAAAAAATATCAAAATATTCGCCATAAAAAGGTGTTTGCATTGTTCAACTTTGCATTCAACTTTTGGTTGAATGGCCTTTCAACTAATCGCTTTCAACAAAGTTGGTCGCCAGCCAATATTTAGCCATTCAACTTTTTTTTCGTGCAACACTGCGTTGAGTTGAACGCAATTGTTGAACGCAAAGTTGAATAATGCAAACACTGCTTTAGCTATTTTTTTTCGCCAAGTTTGGTCCCCATAAAGGACTAGTGTTGCAAGCAACGCTTTTTCGGCAATTAGGGTGTTGTGCAGCTATTTAATGTGGTGAAAATTATTTAAGCACTGGGGAGATTTATTCACATGGAATTGGAGATTGGGCTAATAGATTTATTTTAAATAAATTGTGAATCTGCAAAAATATCTTTTCAGCAGATGAATACACTTTTTAACCTTTTTCCCGAAAATTTACATACAGGCTCGAAAATATGCGAGTAACATTAGGTTTGTATAGTAACAGTAACATTGCAGCGAAAGCGTAAAAGCAAAATAGAGCGTTAAATTGAGAAGAAGAGAAAACTAGCAGAAGAACTTATTGAACACAAAACTAGCAATAACTTGCAAGTGAACAGTTGTTGCACTGCTTTGACAATCTGCTGTAAACATTTTACTATTTATAAATCAGTTTTAAACTCTGCTTTACACACAAGCACTAACACTGTCCAGTACATCATTAATATTTTTATTTCCACTCATTTTACTTTTGTTTGTGCCAAGGCGAAGGTGATTGCAGGAGTACAAAAACAAAAATTTACATGTATTTTGTTTTTGCTTTGGCGGCATAAACTGTCAAAACCTGTAAGTGTGAGTAGAAATTCAAACAAAATTTTTCAATTTGATATCAGAAGCCGTGCGGCGAAACACATACACAAAATCAACTGAGCTAGTAACACCACTTTTTATATATTTTTTTGCCATTTATTCTACTTCTTTTCTGCTAGCTAAATTCTGCTAGTAAAAATTTCACTAGGACGAATTTGCAGCTCTCTCGTGTTGTTACGCTCTCGATTCAGTGCTCTCTTGCAAATTTTTTGGGTTATCATACACTTTTCCAGTAAAAGTTTGCAGGTTCCAGTACAAATTAGTACTGACTATTGGTAACTATACAAACCTATTCAAATATCGTCGCCTGGATGGAAAATTGCCGGAAGCGTAATTTTGACAATTTGTGGTTTTTGGATATCTTCTTTAGTTTCCGACTAATTGACTAAAATTTTTTCGGTTATTTGGTACAAATTGCGTTAGTATTGCTGTCGTACTAAACTAATCAAGATCTTTCAAATAGAGTTATCTGTTCTTCTTTAGTTTCCGACATATTCAGCTTTATCATGAGTTTCATTTTCTAGAACCGGGTCACTTTTCGTTTGCGTGTGTTCACTACAGGTGGATGAAAAAATTTTTGGCGAAATTTTGTTCGGGCGAAACTCACGATTAGGCTGATTAGTAAAAAGTATGGTTAATTTATAAAAATTGTTATCGCATTTTGGCGTATATCACTAAAACTGACTGCAAATTTTTTGACAAATGTCGTATACGACAAAATTTTATTAAACTCATAAATGGTTGACACTAAACTAAAAAAAAAAACAAGATAATTTAAGAATTTCATGAACTAGTACATAGCATTCTCCGACACTTTGGAGAAAATCTGTAGTCGTGTTTCTGAGAAATTGCATTCCAAACTTCAATCGTGAGTTACCGAAAGTAACTTGTGACAATCTTTTATCCAGGGATCTACATAAATTATAATTGTCATTATTTTCGCAGTTGGAGTATATGCCAGACGAGTAACAGGTATATACATACAAGGATACCTAAATTAGCGCGTTGAACTTGTATATTTATCTCTCTCCAACGCATTAATTCTATATACGTAGGTACCAACGCCTGACAAAGTTATGTCTAAATTTAATAATGGCTCTATGACAAAATATTCATGGAATGTATTCGTAGATTTTTATTTACTTCATTTCATACATTAGCATTGATGTTTTGTTTTTCATACATTAGTATTGATGTTTTTTACTAAATACCAGGAATAAATATTTAATAAAAAACTATTTCATTTAAGCTTAACCAACTTTTAGTTGCTCGGAGCTAATTTTGGAACGCTTCACGAAATATTTTCATACAGTAAATGCAACCCTGGGTGCATCATTAACGAGCTGAAAAACCAAACAAAAAAGAAAAAAATTCCATCTGAACCAATATTCCCAAAAATTATAAAGCAAAACAAAAACCATTTTTTCCAATTTATGCAGTTATTTTTATTATTGCAATACAATTTCGCAGCTCTTCAAACATTTTCCACATTATGCTTTTAGGGCTAGTAGTTTCCGACCCCATTTGCTCGTTTTTTTTCAGTTCTTAATTTAGGCTAGGCTTCATGGGAACTTACTGTGGGTGCAAACAGACCACATTTTGTAAACTGAATTGTGATAATTAATTTTATTTTATAATGAAAAATGAATTTAATGTGCAATTTTTTAAGTTTACTAGATGTAAGACAACTTTTAATTTTCTTTATATATTGCATGCTTTAGTTTTAATTCTGTTTAAGTTAAGTTGTAAAGGTGAAAATAGGCCTCGCGTAAAAGCATACCTCAAGTGGTGTGGAAAATGCAAGAACAAATATAAATGGAATAATTTTCGAAATTATGAAATGGTTATTGGTATTTTCCATCTCAAAGGGGGTGATTAATTTGAACGTTCTTTAAGCTGCCTTTACACGTCGATTTTTGTCGTTTAACCAAAATCTACCCGTGTAAATTGCAATTCAACCGTAAAATGTAAGCGGTTTGGCTAGTCGATATCTTAAGTAAATTTTCCAGTCGACAGAAATCG